AAACAGCTGAATCTGATCCGGTTCTGATCCGTCTCTGATCCGGTTCTGATCCGGTTCCGCTCTGCGCAGCAGGATTTTACTTTTTTTTTTACTGAGGTTAAAAACTGACTGTTTTCATGTTTGCGTTGAACAGAGTGGGGGAGTGGGGGGGCATTCAGCGGGTAAAGAGTCGCAGTGAGCGGACTGAGCCTCCGAACCGGACCGGAGCTGCAGCGGCTCCGCCTGAATAATTCATCCCTTTCTTTTTTTTTTTCTCCCTCTCTTTATTCTTCTGGCTGAATTTTAAACAGTCCTCCTCCTTCTTCTCCTCCTGCTCCTCCTCCTCCTCCTTTAGCGGCCAAAGCTGTTTCCAGGCTGTCCTTTTGTCCCCAAAGCGCGAGCCTCCAATGGACTCACGAGCTTTTGTCTCCCAAGTTCATCCGCGAGCTTCCCGTAACGCGCGCGAGGCGTGTCTTTGTGCGGAGCTGGAGACCGTTGAACAAATGTTTGATCAACTCATCTGGGGGACATTTTGTCTCCTGGATCCGGGGGGACATTTAGCTGTCCTCTGACGCAGCGGCGCGCGGCTTCATGTGGACATTTGGCGCCTTAATGATTCAAAATGTTTGACTAAAACGGACTCTTTTATTTTGAATTTTTTTTATTTTATTTGGAAAGTTTTATGTTCATAAATGTAAATGGTCCAGTTTAAAACCCAATTTGCCTCAATTCAAAACTGAGCTGAAATCCTACCTTGGAACCTTAAAAGGTTTAACAAATTTGAAAGCTATAAAGAGCTTGAATAATTTTAATGACTTTGAAAAATGTATATGAAAATTTTGTATCCCTCCCATATGTTTCATTTTTTTGTAACTCTCCTTTGTTTTCTTTTTCATTATTAATACTCTTGTAATGCATTAATTGATATTTTGATATGGTTTTTGATACTGTTTGTCAATGTTGTTAATAAAGTTTTATTTAAAAAAATATGGCGCCTTAAACACATTTATATTAATCCGCCATAAACTAAATATATCAGCAGCCTTTTAACATTAATGACACATTTCAAAAATGATTTGTTACCAAACAGCCATTTAGTAAAAAGAAAGATAAAAATTTATATATTTATCTTATTAAAAAATAGTATTACTTTAATTAATAAGTAAAAACTAAAAAAATAGATTCATTAAACCAAAATATTTAATCTTGCATCTAACTAATTATGATAATTAGCAATAAACTGAAGATTTTCAATAAGGAAATAATTATGATTATAACTATATTCTTTAATTTAAATCTGTAAACTTTGTGAAGCTTCTAGCATGATGCTAGCAAATACTAATACAGTAAAAAAAAAAAAAAAACAATCTACTGGATTTTGTTTCCAAGTTTGAAGACGTTTCTCTTCCCATCCGGGAAACTTTTTCAATTCAAAATGAAAAAAAAAAAAAAAAACACCTACAAAAACGCCTACAAAAAGAAAATCATGGCCGACCTCAAACAATTGGAAAAAGTCTAATTAGCCGCTCCGTTTATTTCCATTATATCCAGAGGACGACGTTCCATGTTTATATGGACTCCAAAAATTCCCAAGGAAGGAAAACCAATCGGAACCAGAGTCAGCAGCATTAACTCAGCAACATTCAACATTGCTAAACAGTTTACTGATACCCCCCCACCCCCAGTGGGGAACACACCACATAGAAAACTCCAAAGACTTTGCAAACAAAGTCAAACATTTAAAGATGGCGCCAGGAGAAACCCTGCTGATGTTACTTCACTTTCACCTGCTTAGTAATATCAGAGGCAGTGGAAACGTAAAGAAAGACGAAAAAGAAGCCAAACGACCCCCATTCCAAAGGGGGGGGCCTGTTCATCCGTTTCTATCTGCATGTTTTCTAAACTAAAACCAGGCTTTGTTGGGCTGCTGGATAAAACCTGGAACTAAACGCTATTTCTGACATTTTGAACTGAAAAAGTTTCCTGGATTGAAGAGAAACGTCTTCAAACTTGGAAACAACGTCCAGAGGATTGATTTTAAATTTTATTGGAATGATTTTGACCTGGATGACTGATAATCTTCCCCAGCAAATGATAGCAAACTAAACCAGCTGAAATGGAAGGAAATAATCTGAAAGGTCAGAGGTCAGATTTTAATAAGCTGATCAATGAATTCCTAATAAAAACACATCAGCTCGATCAGAGATCAACATTCGGCTTCGCAAACATCTGCAGCTAAACTCAGAGTTTATCAAGCATCAGATGCAAAAATAAAGATCTGAAAATGATTAAAGCTAAACTTAGATTTAGACTTAGCTGCTGCCACTTGTGTCTCTGCTGTGTCTATAAATGTATGTATATACAGTATATATATATGTATATATGTGTGTGTACGTATATGTATGCATATATGTATGTTTGTACATATATTTATATATAGTTTAATTATTTTAATTTTAATATTTTATTCTATTTTATAAACCCAGAATCTGTAGAACATTAGGTCTGTTTTTTTAAACAAGTTTTGAAGAGTTATAGATTTTTTATATTTGTATTTTTCACTGTAAAATTCTTACTCTTGTGTTTTTATGTTTAGACAATTTTAAGATCTGTCTGGGGAAAAACAGATGAAAAATAGCCTTTCGGCTAATTCTGGTGCATTTGCAGGAATGCTACTTTCCCCGTCAAATAAATAAATCTAAACTTAGACTTTATTGTGATTTTATAAACACAGAGTTTATACTAAACCAAAGTGGGTTCAGTAAAGCTCTCAAGATATTTCCATTTCTAAAGTGCAGCAGTGATCAAATTTAATTTAACCCCATTTTATACAACATTTATCTGTCTCTGTGGAACGGTGTATAAAATGGGGTTTAAAAATAATAATGATTAATTTTGGATCTGAGTTTAAATCACTTCAATGGTTCCTCTACTTTTCTTACCTCAGAGCTGAATGTCACATTTTTCCATCAGGAAATCAAAGTTAAGTAAACTTGAATTACATGAATGGATCAATTAAGTTTCCAGACTGTAAAACACGGATGTTTCTAACTTTGTGCAAAAACTCCATCAGGTTGGCTTCTAGCTAAACGGTTCAATATTTCATCATTTTAACACCAGAAAACATTTTCTTTCCTGACAGCACTTCTTCGTCGCCTGATAAAAATCGATGTTCTTTGATATAAACCAGCATAAACACAGCAGCCCGGAGCGGAGCCATGACTTTTAATGATAGATGGAGGAATTCAATGGTGGATGGGTTCATCATGCCACAGTAGATTATGACCAAATAAATGCTGAATGGCTGAGCGGACTTACAGTAAAGGTCGCCCCCCCCCCCTGTTTTTAAACTGCTGCTCAGCAAACACATTCATTCCCTGCTTCCCGCTCAGAGCTTCACCTGCTGCTTGAATCACAGAGCCTCATGGGAAAAGCATTAGCCCAGAGAAAAGGTCCATAAGGAATTCCTGATCCCCTCCAGCATCAAGCAGCTTTAAAACGCAGCTTTCACCCACCTGCTTCTTTATTTGAAAATTTCTTTTTCTAAACTTTGCAGTAAATAAATAAATAATAAAAAAAACTTTTCTCGAGTAATTAAATTTCTGATTTCTAACAAAACATTATCAGAATTTTACAGAAGAGGATTAGAGCCACTGAACAAAAAATTGAAAATTTAACTGATTTTTCATTTTAATTCAGTATAATATGAGAAAAAAGTCAGAATTCTGACTTT